TCATATTTTAAAGACATTTAAAAATGAGAAAAATGTCTTTTATACTTACCATTTACCATTTCTGATATTCTTCATTTCTTTGTCTAGATCCAGCTTTCCATCTGGTATCATTTTTCTTCTGCCTGAAGAATTTTCTTTTGACTTTTTTTTTGTAGTGAATATATGTTGGAGCCTAATGTTTCCTTTCAGTTTTTGTTTCTGGAAGAAGCATTTGCCATAATGTTTGAAAGATGTTTTTGCTGGATATAAAAACTGAATGGTTTTTTTTTTTTTTTTTTTGACACTTTTAAACAGATTCCATTGTTTCCTGTCCTTGGTGTATCTAAAAAGAAATACGCTGTAGTAATTTTGTTATATGTATGTAGTTAATCTTTTTTCCTCTCTGATTATATTTAGGATTTTCTGTGTCACAGCAATTTATTGTGTGTGTGTGTGTTTTTTGTTTTATGTTTCTTCTACTTAGAGTTTATTGAACTTCTTGGATTTGGGGATTTAAAGTTTTCATCAAATTTGGAAGATTTGGAGCCATTATTTCTTTAAACAGCAAGTAAAACATTTTATTGACATGAAATTCACATAACAAAATCATTTTAAAAGTAAACAGTTCAGTGACATTTATTTATTTATTTACTTACTTACTTACTAACTAAGTCTTGCTTGGTTGCTCAGGCTGGAGTGCAGTGGTGCGCTCATGGCTCACCGCACCCTTGACCTCCCAGGCTCAAGCAGTCATCCCATAATACCCTCCTGAGTAGCTGAGACTACAGGCATATGCCAACATGCCTGGCTCATATTTTTGTTTTTGTTTTTGAGGTGGAGTCTCGCTTTGTTGCCCAGGCTGGAGTGCAGTGGTACGATCTCTGCTCACTGCAGCTTCCACCTCCCCGGTTCAAGTGATTCTCCTGCCCCAGCCTCTTGAGTAGCTGGGATTACAGGCACCCGCCACCATGCCCAGCTAATTTTTATATTTTTAGTAGAGATGAGGTTTCACCATGTTGACCAGGCTGGTCTTGAACTCCTGACCTCAAGTGATCTGCCCACCTCGGCCTCCCAGTGTGGTGGGATTACAGACATGAGCCACCACGCCCAGCCTTTTTTGTATTTTTTTTTAGAGATAGTATTTTGCCATGTTACCCAGGCTGGCATTTAGTACATTTATAATGTAGTACAACCACCACCTCTGTGTTGTTTGAAAATATTTTCATCACCCTAAAAGGAAACCCCATAGCCAAAAAGTAATTGTTCACCATTCCTCCTCCCCCAGCAACTGGCACCCACCAGTCTCTACATTCTGTTTCTGTGTATTTTCTTTATCAGTATATTTCATATAAATGGGATCATAAAATATGTGGCCTTTTGTTTTTGGCTTTTACTTACATGATTTTGAGGTTCATCCATTTTGTAGCATCCTATTATGTTTTATATTGGATGTCATACATTGCGAATTTTATGCTGTTGTGCTAGATTTTGTTTTATTCCTTTAAAGAATGTAAGTTTGTTTTGTCATCTGCTTAAATTACTGAGACCCAAATTTGATCTGAGACTTGTTTTCTGTCTTTCTTAAGGTAAGTTCGGAACAGCCTTTAATTCATGGCCAATGTAGTTGTTCTGAGGACTGGACCCAATTCCCTGTGTATTTAAAAGTTTCTCCATTTTGGCTCATGGGATCATGAACTATTCCTAGCTCTGCACAAACTCCCAAAAGTTACTCAACCTGCTACTAGTTCTTTTCCTGGACTTGGGAAGTTTCCTCTCAGACTTAAGCAGAGACTGGAGGAGACTTTTATGCAGATCTCCAAAGGTCTCTCATGCGTCTCCCTTTTCTAAAGTACTCTTCCTCATAAGTCTAACCTCCTTGGCCTTACGAACTTCATGTATCTCTGACTTCTCAATTCAGCAGTGTCTTGGGACTGTGTTTCTGTTCCCCGTTCCTGTGCTGCCTGTGCTGCCTGTGCTGCAACCTGGAAACTTTCTCCAGATAGTAAGCTGGGACATAGATCCTAAGGGCTTACCTCTTTTGTTATGTAGGTGATCACAGATAATGCCTGATGAATGTTGTTTGATAAAATTTTTCTGATTTAGTAGTTTTTTAAACACTGGTCGAGTGGTTCATGTAGCATTTCTCCTTCATAGGCAGATGTTACTAGATTTTTAAATCAGTATAGTGTAAGGAAAGTCTATCTTGAACTTAAGGCAAGTGGATTTATTTAAGGACCTCATCATCGAGTGATCTTGTCAATAACTTGGTCATGTGGGATGATGTTTGAATTCTTCAAGCTTTCTTATATAAACTTAAAACATGTTAGCTTTAGAACTTTTTTTATATTTAGATGTAATTTTATGGTTTTTTTTTTTTTTCAGTTGAGTGGTTCTCTTAGAAGTAAATGTCAGTACCTTATTGGGTATATCTCTCACAGTATCTATCATTATTTTGGTATTTCCCAATCCTGGACTGGAGCTATCGGCTAGAAATTCACTGCAGAATTAATTTACCTTCAGAAATGCTATTTTTTCCAGTTAAGTCTGATATAATAATTTACAAACTGATGTGTATTTTTTGTTTAAATGTAATTATGCATTAGATTCAGGGATCAATAAACTATAGCCCACATGCCAAACCTGAATGAAACAATTACTGATAAATGTAATACTCCCAGCTAGTAGCTTAAGAAGCTGACCATGAGGGGGTGGGGAGAGGAGTATAAAGGGGAATGTCCAAGACTCCTTTTTTTACTAATGACTAAGCATGAGGAAGACTGAACATGGAACAAAATTATATTGACCATATTGACAAAATTATCTTTATATTGCCATGTTTTGCTTTGGTTTCCTTTTTTAAATGGAAGGTAAACTGTGAAGACATTCTTGCTGTAAAAGTTCGAACAATACAGAATATGGAGTAAAAAGTGGGGCATGTAGGGTAGAGATGGTGGTGCTGCTTGGGAGAGTGACTACAGAGATATGAGTTGTCTTAATTAAAGGATTTTACTTAGCTTTCTAAAAAGTATTGGTTTTTATTGTGAAGGCAGTGGGAGCTATTGAATTTTAGCAGGGATGTGATGTGGTCAGTTTGGGACAGATTGTGGTTGCAATAATGTTTTGGATATATGGATTCCAAGTTTAGGAGCATGACGAGTTATTCCTTGTTAATGGGAAAGTCCTTAGGAGCCCTGGCCTGGTTGGTTCTTAGGTCTTGTGGACGTTGTCTAGTTGGGAGTGATACAGATAAATAGGTGAGATAGATGGTATCGTTTACAAAGAATTGATAACACTCTAAAGGTTAGTGGGCTGGAGAAAAAAGGACCTAGTTTTAAAATCCTGCTTGAAACTACCATATAACTACTTTTTACCTTCACTTATAAAACAGTAATGATACTTATTTTTTTTTTTTTTTAAAAAAAACCTTACAGTGACAGTGCAAAATTTAGTAAATAAAATACCGGTATGCTTTTGAGAGTCTTGCAAGAAACACACTTAACTTTAAGGTAGAGTGGAATAAGGAAAACAAAAAAAGCATTAAAAAAAAAATTAAGCAAGACTATGTAAGGCAGTGAAGATAAGAATCATGGTAAGAATATTAAGATCAATTAAGTAATGTGCAAAATAAGCAGAAACCCATTTCTATTCATTAATATCAAGCTTTATTAATGTTTGCTTTCTTTTATCCTTACTTTAACATACATTTGATATTTAAAGTGAGCTAATATTACCAGTTATGGAAAATTGCAATTATCTGCTATAACTTGCAAGAAAAAGACTAACTGTTGGTACCATGTCAGTTAATTGAATGCGGTAACTTACTGATTAGACTTTAGGTTTACATAGGATTAAAGGTATGTTGAGGAGTTTAAAAGCCAGCCACACTAAAAAAAAAAAATTTAGGTTTTCAATAGCTTCTGAAGATATATATTTAAATATGCCAATGTTAATTGTACACTTGAATTAATAGCAACTGTATACTTATTGCTATTTAATTGCTAGGCAGGGTGAAGGTTAGAATATAGGATGCTTGGTATTCAATTTATCACTGAACTTTAAAAATTTAACTTATGTTACTTTAAATTCTATAGACGATTTTAAAGATCTTAATGATTCTACTTCTGAGTCTATTACACTACTTGGGATTTTTACTGTTTTAGATTTAGAAGTACTTTTGATTCCACTGCTAATCAAATGGTGTGATCTTCCAGCAGATATTTGACCTCCCTGGGCCCAGTTCTCAGAGTCGTTAAATGTAGGCATTGACCCAGGTCTCTAGTTTTTCTAGAACACTTTTTTCCTTAAGTATATTTCACGTAAAATCCTAGTATAGAAAACGGATAGGTTTACTTTTTTTATATATATAAATTAGGAGTTCAGATAAATTATGTTAAGTTGTGGTCTATTCATGAAATAAGACTTTGTATGAAAAGAGAAATTTGAAATGGTTTTCAAGTGGCTGGCTATCAAGTTAGACTCACCTTTCCATTAATATTTTTCTTATTTTAGTTGCTCAGCATATAGAAAATTATGTTTCAATACAGGGAAAAATGGTAACAGATTTCTGTTTTTTTCTTTTTAACAGCTCATTTTGCAGTCTCAGGAAACTCTTCAGTTAGAGTTGGCAAGGGAATCTTTGTTCTAAGCTCTACCGCAAAATCAATTCACCCAGCAAGACAAGTTGGAGCATTGACAGTCCCTAATGTGTTCAAATTTGGCATATAACATATTTAGGGTGTTAGAAAATATTTAAAGTATATTGCAATCAAATGTTTGCGTAAATCCTAAGTGACAGAGCCATAAATCAGAACAGTTTGATTCAAGAACTCTTTCTCCAGTATTATTATTTGTTTTCTTACTTATTTTTTAAAGATATAAAGGTAATTTATAGATGTGGTCATGTTATTAGTTTGTGGCTTATTTCCCTATGTTTTTTGACTTAAAATATTTAGGTTTAATATTTTAAAGAAATTTGTGCCTATTTTATGACTAATTATTTCTTTTTTTCCCTCCTCCCCCAGGGAAATGAGGCAAGTTATCCTTTGGAAATGTGCTCACACTGTAAGTCATATTCTTGTTTTCAAGAGTTACTTTTATTCACTCATCTCTGTCTCTGCGCGTTTGTGTGTGTGTGTATATCATATACTTCTGTAATGTATATTTACTTACCTTTGTAGCAATGTTAGCCCTTAGCTATTTAAAATGGATAGTGAATTTGACACACAGTCTTTTTGTTACCAAAGTAGGAATATTTTTAAATAGACTTGTTTATTACTAATATCTACACTGTGCTATAGTTATAAATAAACCCCAAAATCTCAGTGTCTTTAACAGAAGTTTTTCAAGTGAAGTTTCAAAGCAGATTTGTAGGAATTCTTCTCTTTGATGACTCAGTGATCCAGGCTCCCTTGTCTTGGAATGCCACCATCTCTAATGCATGTTCCCAACATCAGTGAGGAAGAGGGAAATCCAAGGACCTGTAGGCAGTGCTTTTATCTGCCTCGGCCCAGAGGTGATTTGTATCAGCTGTGCTCATATTTCATATTTATAGGCCAGAGCTAGTTATGCAGCACCACCAAACTGCCCCTGTTTGGGGCTGAAAAGTACAGCTTTCCGTATTTTCTGGAAGGAGAGACAGACAAGGCACACAGCATTCATTAAGTCCTTTTTTTTTTTTCACTTTTTATTTTTTGAACAAATAGAATCACTAAGTTTTTTGTTTTTTACATTTTAGGGAGGGTTGGGGGTGATTCTTTCTTTGAAGAGCAAACTTTCAGAATAAAAGTCTGTGTGTAAAGCCTTTTTCTGATGTTTAAAATGTCTTATTTTTAAATTTGGAAAAGGTCTTTTAATGTATACCTTTGATAGAAGTTTAATATTTGAAAGATTGGATGTTAATTTAGAATTAATTTGCTTCTATTAATATTCCAGTAGCCCTTTTTTTTTTTTT